CTTACGTCCTTGTGAGATGCTGGAAGGGATGAGGCGTTTGGTGGGGTAGCGAGCGATTCTCAAAAAAGTGATTACGATGAAGAGGAGCGCATCGAGGAAGCATATGCACCACACGACGGAGCGACTCGATTGTCGATGCAGTCGGCTGCGGTATCGATCGAGCAGAGCCATCGCCCGTCGCTTGTGCACTTTGCAAGCGATTGCGCAATCGCTGCCAATCGCTCTCGGCAGAGCGATTGCAACGCGATGGACAAGCGATGGAGCGATCGCGTCGCCCACTAGTTTACTTGTTGATTTGGACGAGCTGCGTGCCAGCAGCGGCGAAAAGGAGCATCTCGATTAAAGCGTAGTTTGGCATGGTGCCATCAAACGCGTTGCGGTGAACTCGTTCATACGTCCACTTTCTGAGCTGTTACCTGTTCATGAGTGAAAACCAACGGCCAAAAAAAAGGGGTCCCGTTTTGCGTTTTCTTGACGGATTTTTCTGCTTTTTTCGCTACTGGCGTACCATTGAGCACCACCACGTCACACTAAACCCTTCTTGAATTTATCGTAATCGCTGCCTTTAAGCCTTGGGCCATGTTTAGGCCTTCGAAAACGACGCGAAGGCCGAAAAGATTCCACCTAAAAACCTCGTGACATAAGCACAAAGCACAGTACCAATTGCATGTTTTCTGAAGGCGGCTATAGAGCGAGCAATGAGGACTGCTTAATCATTGTTCAGGTGGATATTAATGTTGATGACGTGGACACAGAAGTGCTGAAAGACTTCCAATCGAAAGTGGTGGCACGGGTGCGCGAAGATCCATTCTACTGCAGAACATCCAGCATGTATGTCAAACGATGGAAAGCCGGTACGTCGAATTGATTAAAGGCGGAGTATCAATTAGTAGCCAGTCTATTAAAATCAACGTAAAGGCGGTCAGCGGTGCCGCTATGAGGAGAAAGCGTGGAAAACTGCACGGAACCCGAGAAATGGGATCCCTTCCATGACCATTGATTTCCCATCGATGCTGCCCTCTTCAACGCTCAACGCTCTCTCTCTTCTGCTAAACGGCTAGAGACCTGCGGCGAGTGGTTAGCCAGTCGGTGGGCGTGCCGCGCCGATAGCGCCGCGGACGGCCATGCTAGATCGCCGGGGCATATCCTTCGCTGCGAATTGCGTGTCGGTCGCACCCTCAGGAGGTCCGCCTGTCTTTCCACTAGGTAAGTTTCTCCTTCTTCGACTTTCGACCTTATTGCGATATCCTCCTGTAGATTGTGACCGCCAAACGGTCGTAGAGGTAGGTATCGTTGTGCTCTTTGATCTCTCTTGCATACTAGTTTTCCTCTCAGGTTTCTCGTCCTCCCTATCTTGCTCGCAAGCCTCAAATTTGTTTAGGTGATAGGACCCTTGCGATTTAGGCGAAATAGCAGATCAACGTGTTAGTAGTGGAATTTCAGATGGCAACATGGTCTCGCCATCTTCATGACGTTTTCTATCTCTATGGATTGTCGCTCAATGACTCATTAACACTGGATCCCATCGGAGGACAATCGAACGCCTTTTTTATTTCTGAGTCGATGAAACGAAGCTTCGTAGGTGTGTTTTTTATTCTACATCATAGAGGAATATGCACTCCGACGTAGTTCCTTTGAGTCTATCCCAGCGACTGACACGCTACTGAGAAGCTGGAATTTCAGTCGGGTACAATTTATGCGTGACTAAGGTGGTGAAAATGAGCAGCAATGGTCTTTAAGATGGTTGACGGAATCAAGAGAATGAATGCAAGAAAAAGCGAGACGTTGTAAGCAAAAGAAAAGGATCGAGAAAGGGCCCAAAAACATACTAAGTCGGGTTACTGTACCGATGGTGGACTGAGGAATGAGGGAGACGCTCAGTTCTCTTCCTGAGGTCAGACTCCCAGAGCTGTGGGATCATTGAAGCCTAAAGTCAAGCTTGGGTTCAAGTTTAGACTAAGGCTTACGTTTGCACATTCGTTGCTTAGCCCATGATCGGACTTAAAGGCAAAGTTCGGGCTCAGACCCACCTAAGAAGCCCTTACCATGGCTAGAAGTGCTGGGTACGCAAGTGCAAAGGTAGCGCCACCTTTCTACATCGAAACGCGTCACTAGGACCCTAGGCGCCATGGACTTCTAACAGACTCCACCAAACTTAACATGGTCCGCCCACCGTTCGATATCTTGTCTGCGTCGCGTTGATCTGCTATGCTCTCTCTTCTCGGACTTCTCTACCGCTCTCCGCGCTCACATTATCTCTCATCTCCCTGCCTGTCTTTTGAACTTCTCCAGCAAGAGCAAATGCTCGTATTTCCTGTGTATTTCAGGATTTTCTTTCCTTTTTCTCCACTGGCGGTCCACCTCCCATCCCTACTTCCACTGAAAGGAATCATCCTATTAATTTAATCTTGATTCTTTCCTTTAGTAGATATACGGATTAAAAATGGAAGGGGTGAGAAGAAGTAATTCACTAGTCCGTACCGCGGAATCCTGAGTGCGAACCGATGCGCAATTCGCATCGAAAAATTTGACCTCGGCGACCTATTATGCCTCAAAGTTGGCGGGTCTGGCGATCTCCGCCCACCGACCAGCTGATCACTCGCCGCAGATCTATACGTGGGATTGATTAGATAGCAGAGAGAGCGTGATGTTGAGGAAGGGCAGCGATAAGTAAGCATATGACGCGTCAGAGGAAGGAAGAGGTCCCTTCTCGTTCTGGCGTTTCTCTGTTCTCCTTCTTCCACTGAAAGGAATCACCCTGTTAATTTAATCTTGATTCTCATGCGGAATTCGTCCTTCAAGCTGAGCTTGCTCAGAGCAAATGAGTGGTGTTTCAGTTCTAGGTAACCTTACTTGAGGAGGAGAACTGCACCGCACCCCCTTCGTTACCACTCCTTTTTGATTTGTTGTTGTAAAAGTTTTCTTGCTGGATGGCTGCCCTTGGGGAACTCATGTCATGAATGATCTCAACGTTCCAGGATTGACCGGATTAGTCACCATAAGTCAGAATGGCACACGTATTTCCATTGTTCTCAGTGTACGTCCTGGATACGAACTTCAATCAAGTAACTGCTATAAATTTTACCGTAATTGACGGACAAACGGTAAGTTGCTCATCCGTGCCGCTTCCATCAGGTCAGCCCTCTGAGACAAATGTAAATAATGAACATTTTCAAGACAATGTCGAAGGGTTACACAAACGAGGCGACTACGCTGTGGGCAACTCGAGGCGGCCAACGGTGAATTTTACCCCTCTCTTCACCCCGTGGTGTATACTATTCTTTACAGACCTCTCGTTCGCCCAAAATGTGGCTATACTGGGACTGAGTGTCCAAAACCATTCTGGGAGCTCTATGGCTTATACATCATTGTTGCATCTGGTTTGCTTCTGATTCTGCTGACTGCTGCTGTAATCTTCATCATATATGTGATAAGGTAACGTCGAGTTGGGTAGGCATTCCGAAATTCCTCTCCGCGATGTTCCGCAATGGGCTTTCATTCGAAATGGGTGTGGAAACTAAATGCAATCTCGTCTATTCAATGAATTAGGGGGCTAAAGTCAATGATTTGGTCCATCCTGGCTAGTCTGGTCTGTTACTAATTAACGCTTTCCGAAGAACTGCTTCTGCTCTCAGACGAACTTCTTTTCTTCACTTCCTCACTCGCTGCTGAGCGTGTGGTTGTTAGAGTCCGACAATTCGCTGTATCTGACTGTATCTGGCTCATGAGTTCCGAAAGACCGAATATTTTAAACAACATCCTCTCTTCAAATACTTCAGGATTCGAAAAGAAGAGCAGGAGCAGGCAGCGGTTGTTATGGCAGATTCCTTACATGAAACTACGGAGACCTCCTACTATGGTAAGAAGGTTTTGTGTCAGACTTCTGGTGTGTACTATCGCTGAGCTTCTTGTATGAAATTTATGTTCTTATTTAGCGTGAACTGCAACAGCAGAGCAAGCGCTCACTTCAATCTGGACCGTCGATTATGACGGGAGACTCGAAGCTAACAGAATCGAATTTTGGCGACTTCGAACTCCATTTTCTAGAAAATGATCCTGTTCTTACCACGAAATATCCTGCGACTGGATTGACCGAGGAAGACAGATCCAGATTCCCACAGGTTTGCTTTCTTAATCTTTCCAAAATAAAGGAGAATTCCACGTTAAGGTCGTAGGTTCAAGGATGGGGAATGGAGACAGGTGAGAATCATAAGTTCGTGATTATGCGCATGAGGATGATGTAAGCGCTGGTAGGGCCGTGCCCGCGCCGCTATGGCCGCAACACGCCTCCATGTCTGGTCTGAGCCTCGAGTCGTTTAGCAGAGAGAGCATTAGCGTTGAAGAGGGTAGCATCAATGAGAGTTGCGATCAGTGCGGGAATAAACGGAAAGAGGGATTACATTTCCCAGGTTCTAGAATTTTTCACATTTTTTATTCATAGCTGCCCATGCTATCTTGAATTCTATGGAGCTGCCATCGTCAACTCCGCCCTTGAATCACTATGAGCCGGAAGGATGAAGCGGCAAGATATTGTAGATGTTACTAGCTTCACCTGCGTGGCATGTTCCGCGCTGAGGACTGCGCGCACCCTAGGGAATCTCATCTCAGACCAGCAAAGATAGCCATGAATATGGTTCCATATCTCATTCTCAATATATGCTCCACAATTGATGATTTTGGCCGTAACATACGACTTCGCTGGAAAAGACAGCAATTACGGGTTAAGAATTACGATAAGTTCAAGAAGGGTTTAGTGTGACGTGGTGGTGCTCAATGGTACGCCAGTAGCGAAAAAGCAGAAAAATCCGTCAAGAAAACGCAAAACGGGACCCCTTTTTTGGCCGTTGGTTTTCACTCATGAACAGGTAACAGCTCAGAAAGTGGACGTATGAACGAGTTCACCGCAACGCGTTTGATGGCACCATGCCAAACCACGCTTTAATCGAGATGCTCCATTTGCGCCGCTGCTGGCCACGCAGCTCGTCCAAATCAACAAGTAAACTAGTGGGCGGATCGCTTTTGGGGCGGAGCGCTTTCGAAGTCCTGCTCAGCAACCAGCGCACCTTTCGTTGTGAAAGCGCCACATCTCGCTTCCCTGGCAGCCAAGTAACTGATTCGTGTGGTGCACATGCTTCCCCGATGCGCTCCCTCTTTATCGTAATCGCTTCCTTTAATCATAGGTCTGTTCCGTTTTTCTTTCGAACGCTCCACGGATGTCGATCAATATTGATCAATGGCCTATTGCTCTATGGAATTGTAACTTCAAAATCGACATTGCGTTTCTTCACTCTTTTCGTGCCCCTCCGGAAGAACCGCTATCTTTGGTGTCGATTCGTAGCCATGATTTCAAAGAATTCTGTGAAGGTTTAGTCGTAGTCTTACCTCCACTCGTCCTGGATCCAGTAGCCTACGTGAAAGTGTTTAGAATCAAAGGGGCACCCAAAACAGGGAATTAAGCGCATACCCCGCTTAGCTAGGCAAATTCCGCCCGCTATCGTGCATGATTCCTGTCCCGCCCGCAACCGTGCATTCCCCCCGGGGGATTTTAAAAAAAGCTTGGACTATACCCCAAGCACTTTCTTAGATCTAGTACGTAAAAACATGCCGGTTACATGCCAGCAAAAAGGTACACAAACAAGCAGGAAGATCACGC